CACTCTGGACAAAGTATATTCATACGGCAAAAAAGTCTATCACTCGGCATTTGATTTGACTTTTATTTAAAATGATTAGACTGAAACAAGGCTATAAGCGAAATCGCCCTCGTCAGGATGAATCACAACGTCTACAGATCCTTCAGTGGAATGCTGGAGGGAGGCCACAGGACAAAAAGATCCAAGTACAGAAAATCCAACAAACTTATGATGTGGACATTTTCACAATTATGGAAGCAAACCTCTCGGATGACAAACTGAAGTACTACCAATTCCCAGGTTAAACCCTGTACCTTCTACCTAAATACCGGCAAGTTGCAAGTTGAATTCTCACTGGAGTAAAAGAAGGCCTCACATCACATTACGATCTAATCATGAGTATGAGCTCGACACAAGACATATGCGAAATAATCAGATTAAATGTTTGGAAATGTCAAAACCACTTCAAGATATATGCAGTCTATAATCCACCCCAGAATAGTCCCAACTTTGATTCTCTGAACATCTCTCACAAAACTGTAGTATTAGGAGACTTCAACGCCCATTCCACCAGATGGGGCTATAGGAATGCAAACATAGCTGGAAAGGAAATCGAAGACAGGCTAAACAGCAACCCTCTGGAACTTATTTACAGCAATGAGGATTCGGCTACATATCTGCATTACAATGGAACCAGAACAACTCCTGACTTGCTCCTGGCTTTAAGCAACATCAGCGAGCATACACGCCGCAAAATAATCGATGATCCTAGTTCTGGTCATAATCCAGTCATTGCTAGTATTACCATCGCCAGCAAAAGCATGACAAGGAAAGTGCCAACTAAGCTATCATGGAATTTCAAGAAGGCTGACTGGCCTAGATTCACGAACCTTTAGAGAATGGACTTCACACAAGTTCCCTCAACTTCAACCAACATCCTGACATGCTTTGCAATGAAATCACGACTATTATGATCAGACGTGCAAAGAAAACTATTCCCCGAGGCAAGACTAAACACTATCGAGTGTATTGGTCTAGATACCTTGTGGAAGTGAAAAGAAAGCGGGACGCCCTTCGCAACACTGCTGATCAGACTGGAAGAACGGAAGACGTACAAGCCTGGTGACGGCAGTCAGCTGTTCTAAGGCGGACTTCCTTCGACAAGTTCATCTCAAATATCAACTATCAAAGTGATAGTCAACGCACTTTCAAATTCCTGTGTAACATCCAAAACAACAGAGAAAGACCCAAGAAAGAACCAATACGCTTAACCAACAAACTGCTTACCAGCTAACTGTTTTGTGAGGTTCTATTCCCACAAGCAAATGAAAACCCCTTTTGTCAGAAAATCTTCAAAAGATTTAAAGATACAATTAAGACAGTTGGGTGAAATTAAGGAAGACATAGCAACACCAAGTAATCTACTTACTGAATCATTCAGACCTTGCGAACTTAATGCTGCGATAAAACAGCTCAAGTGCAAAAAGTCTCCTGGCGAAGACGGTATTCATCCTGAATTACTACTTAGAATGGAACCAAAAGCCAAGGAAACCATGCTGACGCTTTACAACAAAATCTAACCAATGGAAAGTTGCCATAGTAATACCAGTACTAAAAAAGGGCAAAGACCCTAGCAACTTTGACAACTATAGGCCTATCTCAATCACAGGCGTGGGCTAAATTTATAGAAAGAATGGTTAACAGGAGGCTGACCTGGTTACTTGAGACCAACTGTATTCTTAGTAATGAACAAGTAGGTTTTAGCCCACAAAGATCAACGAACCAACAAGTAGCCACTTTCTCCCAACATACCAAAGATGCCCTTGATGCAAGAAATACCCTTACGGCTGTTTTCGTCGATTTCACATCAGCATATGACTTAGTATGGAAAGAGAAGCTAATTCTAAAATTGGCAAAGATTGGTATTAAGCATAACAGGCATTCTTTGACAAAGATCATGTAAAGTCAGATATGGAAATGCTCTATCAAAATCCAATTTTTACAAACAGGTCTTCCACAGGGAACTGTCACAAGCAGCACTCTTTTCAATGTCTTCATCAATAACATAGATGAATTAGTACAGACAGTTACAGGCATCATGTGCTAACTTTATGCAGATGATTTTGTTCTATGGTATTCCACCCCTAAGAAAAACGCTTAGGAGAGGACAGAAAGTGCCCTAAACTGTGCACTTAAACTACTAGCAAACTGGAGCGACAACAATGGAATAGTTATCAACACCGCGAAAGCTTCATTCCAAAGATTTTCTTTGGTCCGTCACAGCATAAACCCGCTTATAAGGCCCAAGGATACTACCCTAGAAAAAACCAATGAGTTCACATATCTCGGAATGACGTTTGACACAAAGCTAACGTGGAAAATTCACATTGCTAAAGTAGCAGAATGAATCTCCAATAGACTGAATGTACTGAAGCGTCTTGCTGGTAGCGTATGGGGCTGTGCACGTTCAACTCTCAACACCATTTACAAGATGTTTATTCA